GCTGCCGACCTCAGTCTTACGCACGGACGCCGAGGTTTGAGCGTCTTCAAGAACTAAGTGTTTGGAGGGCTCTCACATCCAACAACGTGAGCAGTCCGCCCAAACTCTGCAGTACTCGGCGCATCCTACCATGTGAAGCTCCCCTAAAACCCGCTTCCAAACAGCCTCCGGCGTGCCAAGAACCCTGCTACAGCAGAACCTGCTAGGATGCAAAACCAGTATATAATGCTGATCTTGGCTTCTCATCATCAGGCTCTTCCAAGCATGCCTCTTTGTGGCAAGAGCACCACTGCAGGAGCTACAAAACACAAACAACCCCCTAAGACTGACACCTGATCACAACACACGTTAGCTCTGTCTGGGCATAGTATGTTTCATAAACGAGATTGAGGTTGTCAATCTGACAGACCATTGCCATTCGGTGTCTTAGAAACATAACATTGCTAAGGACCGAATCATGACATGAGCCCTAAATCCCAATCTAGCCCCTAAGATCGGGTCTATTAAGGTCGTAGGGAATTTCAAGCGCTCGGTCATTGGCAGAGTGTCCTCGGGTGGCAGGATCAGTGAAGGGCGCAGCTAGCACTGTTTACGTTTGGCGTTAGCCGCCTATTGGGTCTCCTTGGCTTTTGATAGCTTCCTCAACTGTCTGGTGGATCCTGTGTGTTACTTGGGGCTTCAATCTGATCTGAAGAGAGCTGCTTCGCAGAGCCTAGTAATGAGAAGCTATGAACCGAGGCCGTACATCAGTCGCGTTTCTTGGTGCATCTGAAACCAGCTACAGGTAAGGTTGAGAGTTTACAGAACCTCTAAGCCTAAGTTTCCACATTCATTTTTTAGAGCCGTTCGCATTTACTTATGATTCAGACTCGATTTGTTTTCTTCTGGACGACCAGAGCCACCGGCTCCGATTCAAAACTCAATAGCAGGCAGGATATGACATCAATATGATTTCGCCATCTGTGCCAAGGTTTGCAGGCAATTGTTCCGAAATTTATGGAACAACTATAGTCTTAGTTCTGACAGAAAATCACAACCGCTTGAAACTCTTATGATGATCTGTATGTATGGAGGAATGAGTCTTCAGACGGACCATGGTCTTTGTGCCTCGTGCTACCAGCTGCCGACCACTAGGTTTAAACCAATCATCAGTGTCGTGTCGCCCACTTTCATGAGGATTTAGGGGTTTAGAGCTTCAGATTTCAATAAACCTGATTCCATATTCCCATATTCAGTATTCAGCGGTGCACTAAACCGCGGGGTCACTGCAGCAGTATGTTACTCTGTCGCACCCTGCAGTACACCAACATTATGAAATACTCGTTCGGGTGACTTTCCGGTTTAGCCCCTGCACTCTCGAAGTTCAGGCCCACCCAGCTGCACCAAGACAGAGACAACGCACAGGCCTGACAAAACTTGCAGAGCTCCGTAGATCGTGGGGACAGATGGCCCACGTGTCACTACGAAAGCACGACTTCATGTGAGCAAGTGGACAAATGCTGCGGGCCAGACCGCAGGAGTGGAGTTGCTTCCAGAAGCTGCTGAACGCGTGTTCTCTTCGAGACTGCACAGAGCGAGGCTCCTTCTGCCATCTGAATGATCAGTTGTCGTTCCTAGTGTGCTTCTCTTGGTCGGAGCGCGAAGCAGTAAGAAAGAGTGCAAGCGACACCGCAAGCGCTGTCGTGGTCGCAAGCGCTGTCGTGGTCACATCTGACTGTGGGCTCACGAATGAAGTCTGGACTGTGGGTTTGGACTCGTGCATGTTTGCTGGGTAGCCACACCCGAGAAACCTTCTGAGCGCCTGCTTGTTGTGCCGGTGTGTCAAGGATGTTCCCATGGGCGAAACGAAAGGTTTGGACTCGCGCATCTTTTCTGGGTAGCCACACCCGAGAAGCTCACTGAGCGGCTGCTCGTTCTGCCGGGGTGTTAAGACTGTTCCCATGGGCGAAACGAAACTAAGCTTTTTGGAAAGCAATTGTCGGAGCCCTGGCACCATTAGATTTCTGGCCTCCTTCCAGCTTGTGCTGAGCGGCATTGTAACCCTGGAGATCATCTCGCCGGAAAGCTTTCGCATGACCAGCCTGAGAACATTGTCTTCAACTTCGCCCATCAGCTGCACTAACGTGGGCCGCCATTCCTGCCGCTGCCACAAAAACTGCCAGGTGCACGGTTGCCCTCTTGTGTGGTTGTACCAAACCAGTGTTCCCGGAGTTGAATCGTCGACCAGATCGTGCGTGCACGTGTGTATACGCGACACATCGAACAGTTGCAGCCGCCGGCTGCCGACACTGCCGACTGCTTCGATCTGGAAGTCCTTTTGATCAGCCCCGGGACGGTTTTGCATTTTCACCACGACGACCGCACGAGCCTGTGAAAACCATGCGAACGAGGCGACACTTGTGAGATCGTAGATGATGCCGGTCTCCAACTCCTTCCACAGCCCGCACCAAGAACCCCTCAGCTGCACACCGAGATGAGAGAACTCAAAGGATGAACCCATGGCTCGAAACACAGAGTATGATGGATGCAACGGTTGGGGGAAGCCTAAGCTGCCAAGCACAGCCGTGACTTGCAAGCAGCCGAACGACATCCAAACATACAGCGAAACAACCTCTTCCATGCTTTCCATGCCTCCGGCCAAGCACCCTACGACCCCTAAACTGCACATGCCTGATAACTGCCTAAACCCTAAACTCCCTAAACCACGAACCCCGAATCCTAAACGCCCTAAACCCTGAACCCTACTAGAAAAGTTAAACACTGGATCTCCCTAAACCCGAACCTCCCTACTTGGAGGTTCATGGGTAGTTATAAGTGGGGTTATAAGTCCCTTAATATGGATTATAAGTATAGCTACCCTACTTGTAACCCCACTTCTAACTACCCATGAACATCCAAGTGGACGCCCTAAACTGCAAAACTTGAACCCTCTTGGAAAGGTGCCTCCATGGTGGAAAGCCGGAAAGGTCAGCTTTCCCGCGCTCTCCTGCAGCTCGTGGGCTTCACGTGAGGGCTTTCTTGTACTATATAGAAGAATGTTATAACTAAGTTTTTGGAATAAAAAGGTCGTTCATGGTTTAAGAATGCGAATACTACCCATAACAACAACAATAACAGTATCACTTGTAAAAGCAATAAAGCTCATACGCACAAGTTATCAATCAACAAGTGTGTAAGACCACCTTTAACTGTATAGGGACCATGAGGGGAAACATTCTGGTACCCCGGAAGGACGGCACTTGTCACTCCCCTTGGCGCAAACTGGGGGTTTTATGGTCCCAAATAGTGGGCATTTGGGGTCGACTGGAAGGTAGATGGAGGGTCTAGGTCCTAGGTCTACTATCTAAGTGCTCTAAGCTGTTCTGCAATTGAGCACGGATTTAGGCCATAGTTTCCGTCACATTCTCCAGTTGCCTCACTGCTTCAGCGTCCTATGTAGTCAGTACCCTGCAAGAGATAATCATACGCAAAACTGCCCAACGGACATGAGCATGCGTCATCACGACATTTCCGTTGAAAAACCGTAAGACCTAGACCTATATCCTATACCCTTAAAACATTACAGCTCCAAAACACCCCAGCTCAAAGTGCTGGCGAAAAACTGCACAGTCTACCTGAGGCGTGTCTAAGCTTGGACGGAGCCCCCCACGACAGACTTATAACAGTAATCATGATGGTATATATTCCAAGCAGCAATAACGCCAGTAGTAACAACATTATCATGATAGCAACACTTACTCCCCATGTGGAGGGCGTGCCCAGTGTAGTCGCAAGGGCGGAAGGCCTGGTTGTAGGCTTTACGAGAATAGGACACCTGCAAATTCTGCAGTTGCAAGAGCTGCTTGCCACAGAAGAATCAGCCCCAGCACCAGCACCACATGTAGCGAGGGCAACATCAACAGCAACGGCAGCAGCAGCAGCAGCGGCAGCAGCAGCAGCAGTCACAACGACGACTCTGAGGCAGACACATTGCATTCTTACAGGTGGTGTTTTGGCGACAAGCTGCTTTAGGCTCTTGTTTTGAGGATGACCACCCGGAAGAGTGATTGCGCCGATAATGCCCGCAGGTCATGACACCTCTCATCATCATACACGATGACGGTTGGTGTGGCAATGTCGTTCATGGTTGATGTTATCTTGTTGCTGATCTTGAGCCTTGTCTTAGCAGCTAACATGTAGTGTTCCTGCAGCGACAATGCGGCACCTGCTCCAGCCGCCTCAAGTTGAGACCACTCTTTGGATGGTAAAAACAAGATGTTCCGCAAGAGCTGAACAAAGGCAGCCCTGAAAAAGGAACCTGAGTTTTTGACAGCTCGTATCATCTTGACAGCATCACCATTCGTGCTACGAGTATCTTCGTAAACATCACCCAAATCCCTAAAGCCCAAATCCATCAAAGTGTTGCTTGCCACGCCTCTCGTAGCCTGGCTTCTCAAACACGTCAACATGGCTCAAGGCTGGGCGAAGAAATCTACAAGCTTTCGGGTTTGGTGTAACAGACTTACTCACTCTCCCTCGGCGTCATGCAGTTCCGGAATAGGCTCAGCGAACAGGGCGAATACGAGATCCTTTTCCCTGAAGTCTCTGGCAGAATCCAAATGCATTTTGTGCCCGTCCCCGCGGCAAAACCTTCAGTCAAACCTGTGGTGAGAAGGCTTTAGGGTTCATGGTTCGGGCCTCGGGGTTGCAAGGTTTGGGGTCGAGGCATGCGTTGTGGAGGCAGGCAGCGTGCTTGCGTCCTCGCGGCTCCAAAGCATGGCGCACACTCATTTGCAAGGCACTCTCGGCCTTGATTTGGGCTTAAGGTTAGCCTTGACAGTAGCACATGTGTCCTCGCGCGCATGCTTTGCCGTGCGAAAGCTGTGTCAGAAGCCTGCCGAGTTGTCCTCGGCAGGCAGGTCAACCGATGGGGGTTGATCTACTTGTCGGATGCTGGTTTTCAGAAGCCAGGATTGAAACAGGTGCCATCGTGGGCCCCGTAGATTGGAGCAACCCCCCCCACATTTTATTGGCCCAAGGACGCACATAAACATGAGGATCCGAAGGACCTTCTAAGAGGAATTCCTGAAACCGTAGTTGTGAGATCCTGATGTTTGCGTGTTCTCTCGGGCCCTGACAACAATTCCCCAGAAGCCCAGGTATTTGCCTTTTCTCGCTCTGTCGATTGATGTGTATACATATATATATATATATGTATATATATATATATGTATATATATATATATGTATATATATATATATATATATATGTATATATACATATATACCTATGTAGATATACATACATACAAACCTTATCTTAGATTACCTTACATTACCTTGTATTACCTTGTGTTGCCTTTTGTTGCAGTATATTACCTTACATTACCTTATACCTTACATTGCCTTACATTACTTTACCGTACATTGTATACATACACTCCTATATGCATGCATGCATACCTACATACACGCACATATGCATATATACACAGACAATGTGAATGTATATGTGTATATGTATCTGCATGCGTAAATGTAAGTATATGCATATGTATATGCATATGTGGATGTACATGTATGTATATGTATATGCACATGTATATGTACAATATGTCTATGTATATGTACATGTATATGTATATGTGTATGTGTGTATATGTATATGTATTTCATGATATGTGTATATACATACATGCATACATACAAATAGGTACATATGGACAGTGACAATACATATAGCTCATATACATATATATATATATATATATGTATGTATGTTGTTGTACATCTGTATATATATATATATATGTATATATGTTTATGTACATCTGTACATATATAAATATACATACATACATACACATATATGCTTATAATGCTAAGTAGCGCGCCACATGGGAAACTGGGTGTCTGGGTATACATACATTGTCCAATTTGAGCGAAACTTCACGTTCCTCTCCCTGGCCGCCTGACAGTTCGGGAAGTGTGGCAGGCCAGATGGGTGGTTGTCAAAATTAGGTCCCTTTTTTGGGTACCCTAAATATCAGGTGCCGTATTATAATAAGGACCCAAAAAGGGACTCTAAGTTTGACAACCACCCAGATCTCGAATTCCTGGCGGAAAAGGCCCGGAAACCTTCAAAGTCAGATTGAGGCTTCAGGCGTCTGGGGATTTAGGGTTCGTACAGGGTTTAAGGCTTTGCCGTCGGGGTCTTTTCTTTCGCTTTCGGCTACAATATCAACCTTTTGGCATGGTCGCCTCTAGTGGAAATGGGGACTTTTCTGCTCATGCAGACTACTGCGGCAAGGCAAATTAAAGCTTCTCTGCAACCCGCAACCGAGTGCATCAGCAGCACCCAGCGCAGGATGAGTGAAGGCTGGCGAGCACGCTAAAAATCTAACAAAAAACATAAATCACCTAGTGACCTAGTCTTCGAAGACCAGGAATCGAGAGCAGCTCCTTGTCGAGCCTGGCCATTGGCTGGCAAGTGGGACTCTTGGCAACGCACTCCTCGATTTAAGTCATTCAGGTAAGATCCTGTACTGATAGAATCCTGGAGCTTGAGCCTGAAACATGTTTACGAGCGTATGAGCGTTGCTCACACTGCATGCTGGATGAACGCTGCACTAAGTCGTTGTCCACGAAGACACTACCGGTTCTTCTATGGAGAAAAATCGGTTAAATATGCTGATGACTTGGTTTTCAAAACACGCTCAACCACGCATGCGGCATCCCTTACTACATAAGCCCGTGGACAGGACATGCTTTGCCGTCTTCCGTAAACGGGGATTCTAGCCCCGTGCTTACCAGAACTTCCTAACCCTCCGGACCCCTAAATCCGAAATCCTAGAACTCTAACCCGCCCTAAACCCTGATGCCGAAAGCCGAAGCTTCAAACCCTAAAACCTAAACCGCATCAGCTTCGCCGAGCTAATTTCGAGCCTCTCGGCTGTGCGAATACTTCTTGGACCGCGCGGAGAGCAGCGAGTCCTTTTAGGGCTCTATTGAAGTTACTATGTGAAGGTTTAATACCGGGGCCTGAATAGTTAGAAAAGGGCTCTGGGGTATATCATAACAGGATTACTCTAAGTAGTTAGTCAGACCTTACCGTGGCTGTTTTGTTTATATCCCTAAACCCTAAATATAAAATGGTTACATCGCTTGGAGCTCTACGGCTCGCAGAATCTTCTGGGGTTCTAGACCCGAGGCTTCTGCGTATTGATGCTCTAGGGTTTAGGGTTTAATATAGGGGCCTTAATAATTAGAATAGGGGTTCCTTTAAAGGGCTCCTTATAAGAGCTACTAAGTATAAGGGATACTATACGGGCTTAATACAGGTACCTCAATAATTAGAATAGGGTTTTGGGTCCCATTATACTGTAGTTATGATAAGGAGCCCCCAGAATAGTATAGGTAATTGTTAAGGCCCCTATATTAGGGCCGAGGGTTGTGGGCTTGTGTTTGGTTGGTTCAAATTTCAGGGTTCGGGGTCTAAGGCTTAAAGGGGTGGGGCACGAC